TCGATTTCATCTCCGTCCCGCCGGGCTGCGCACTTAAAAGCCATACTTCGTGGCTGGTCCTAACCCTCTCCCTGCTGTCCCCCTCCGCCCCGGCCTGCAGGGGCTCAGCCGTTCCGCACTGGCAGCAGCGGCACCTCTGTACGCACTGCAGGCACGGGTTTGCTCTTCAGCATCAGCCCTCTCCACTTCCCTTCCACCTGTGCCTTTGGAATATTTGATTCCCGGTATATTTATTCCGGGTGGTTCAAGAAATCCAAGCAGTCTGTGAGTCTCCTTGTCACAACACGCGGCTCTCCTTTAAGGGAAAGCGGAGAGCCCTAACGAGCGGCAGAGCCGCTTGTTCTGGGTTCGCTCTTTGCTGGAGAGCGGCGAGAGCCCCGGCAGGGGCAGGACAGCGGCCAACGCGCCTGGCTCCGCTACCGCGCCGGTCACCGCGGAGCCCCAGTCCCGCGCTCGGGTCTCTCAAGGAGCTGGAAAAGTATTGAAGCCTCGTTTGTATTTGGAATAAAACGTTAGCGTTGAATATCGCAGAAATTTATATTCGTTTTTGTTTAATCAAATTAATGAAATCATTTTAGAGGTTGCTTTTAGAGCTTGCTTCGTTTTAGTAGCTCAATGCATACATACTTAGTTGGTGTAAAAGATCAGCTGGCATGAATCTGGAATGATCAGATTACTGCGAATGGCTCGGAGGGAACACTATAAACTAATCTCTATGAGTCTTCTACTCCCCCCCACCAAACACTTTAGAATCATGTTCTTTGCCGGCTGCCCACTTCTGCCGTGAGAGCTGTTCTGGGAAATCAAGTTTAAAGAACATGCGTTTGAACTTTTAGAGATGGCCGTGCTAGTTGGTTTGCCAGAGCAGGCAGTCAAGTGCAGGCATCGCAGCGGCTCAGGGAGCGAGTCCACACGGCCACAGCGCCGTGAGGTATCGGGGTATCGGGGTATTCGAAGAGCTGGTTGCATCAAAATGCACTTTGTGAAATAATTCCTCAAATAATCTAAACGAAATCCGCGCGAGAATCTGCGAGGCTCTTGAACAAATCAGCGATCCGGTCAGGGATATTCTGTACGTGCCTTCAGCGTGACCGGGTAAGCTCTTTTTTATTTAATTTTATTTTTCCCAGAGTTTGGTTGAAATAAAGCGATGAAGGCAGGACCTCTCGTCCCAAGCTTTGATCGTCCTCAAAACATTTTTTTTATGCTTCCCACACAAGGGAAAAATAAAAAGAAAAGGAAAAAAAAAGGGGTGTGTGAAAATGGGATGTTTCATTTCTGGCATGGCCTCCTCCTCCGCGGGCAGCTCAAACGCAGGATGCCTGAGGCAGCTGGTGCAGGTGTCAGGAACTGGTGCGCGCGCTCTCGCGGCTCCTCCGCGTGCCCAGCGCGGGTGCCGACGGCCTCCCGCCTGCGCTCGATGCTCTCCCGCGGCGGGGCAGTCACCTCGCCTCTCCGTGAGGAGGATGAGGCAGCTAAAGCTCTCTCCCCGGGGCGCTCACGACAGATAGAGAAAAACAAATGTATTATTATCATTTCTTTAAGAAACATTTCGGGAAGCTAAGCAGTGTCGCATGGTCCCTAGCACCCCGTTGGCAGATCTTGCACTCTGAAGGGGGGGCACTCAGATTTACTGCCCCCTCCTTTTTCTGGTGTCCTTTCTCCGTCATCCTCTGCTTCCTCTCTGCTCAGGGAGGGAGTGGGGAGGTTGCGGAGAGGGAGAACTCCTGGCACCGTCCCGCTCACCCTGCGAGCCGAGCTCAACGAAGCCATTAGAAAGAAGGGAGTTCAAGGCAGGGGCTCCCCGTGGTTGGTCCTGGGCTGTCAGCGTGTTGTGGGCTTTTGTCTCATCCTGCCTGGTGGCAAGAGCAAACTAAAGGCTGAACTCTTCTCACACAGGTTACCCCACCTCAGCTTAACGATCTGGTGAGACTTCCCTGCAATGTATTACTTATTATTCTCCAGCAGAGAAAGGGAGAAAGGCAGAGAAACGGGGAAAGGTATCCCATTTATTCTGGGAAATACGACAGATTTTGCCTGAAATGAGAGACACTGGCTGTCCTTGCCATAGAGCACCACAAAAAACCCTCTGTCCTTTGTGTAAAGGAAGGCTTTGTGTAAAGTTCAGAAAGGACAGAAAAAGGTACTAATTAAACTTTCAGCCCCGCATACTAGTTCATGAGTGCCTTGTGCCTTGAGGTTCTCTCACTAGGGAAGTGTATTCACCCATCCTCGTTGCAATCCTCCCTTTCCTCATCTGTGACATTTTCCTTTTTCTATTATTCCTCTTGGGTTGGGTTGGGTTCATATTTGTATTTTTCAGTTTCAAACAGTGCAGCCTCTGGAAGGTCACTAAGGTATTGTCATGGAGGCCAGTGTGATGAGCAAACCCATGTGAGGTCCTGGAGCACTTGTGCCTCAATAGAGATAGATGATATGAGGAGGGCTTTGAGGAAATGGCAAACATACCTTTGTACCCAGCTTTTTACCTGATACTTTTGGACTTGAATTTTTCAAATTCACAGCATCATCCTAGTTAAATTCTTTTATATGGTGTTCATTTTGTTTTGTTCCTGAATTTTAAGAGAGTTATTTGTGTTGTCTCACTATTGAATCTTTACTGTTTTTTTTTGTGCGTGTGTGTTTTGTTTTTGTTTTTGCCTTTTTTTCTTAGATCTTTAACATGCTAAAGAAGCTTTTAATTTGTAGAAAGCATCTATTTTTGTTTCTGGATTTAATGTGAATTGCAATATTGCAGATGTTATCTCAGTGTAAAATATTAATTACCATTACTGATTGCAAGGCTATAACAGTGAAAAATCCGTCTTTCTTTTGTAACCTCCTCACAAAACCTAGAGGAAGTGTTGTGGTCCAGGGAATGAGAAGATGACTATGTAAGAAGAAACCTGTTTCTTATTACAGTGCTTGCCACTCACTACTGGTGTTGTCTTAGGGGCATCATCTCTTATGAGTCTTGCCTCCTTCTTAAGATCTTCAAATGTGGCTGATGACTCTAGAGGTGTCCAGTTTTGGATGTTTATCATGAAGAACCTGATTAGCAAAGAGCTAATGTCAGTGCTTTTTTTTCAGATTAAGCTCTATTAATGTGTTTCAGATTGACCTTCTTAAAATAGATGTAGTTAAAAACACTGATCTTTTTTGAGCAATTTTGGTCATTGCTTTTAAGCTATTACATCACAGTTGGTGAACAGGATATTTGTTGATATATAGATATATATAGATAGAAATAGATATACTGATAGAAAATGCTTTCCTGTGTGCAAACACTGAGGACTTAAATAGTGAAGGCAAGGATGAGGCCTCACTTTCTTCTGCATATTTGTTCTTCTGCCCCTTTTTGGACAGCAATTACTCTATGCATAAGACCCAAATGCCAGTCAGAAGACAAGTTTTTACACTGAGAGCTGGGGCTTCCAGTCTCCGGAGTGAGACCTGAGATGTGCTTTGTGGAAGCAGATAATGATTTCCAGCCATTTCAAATCCTATTGCTACAGGTAGCACTTCTAGTCTGGGAGTCTCACCTGTCTGTTCACTTTAAAGCACAGAGGCTTTGCTGCCTATTTCAAGGGTACACTATGCTCTCACATAGAAGTATGTGTTTTTGGGTAAGTGAGGTGCATTTTTCTGCTTCTTGTAAACATTATGTTAATTCTGAATGGGAAAT